CTTTGAGAACGGTCTTGGGGCCCTCGCGGAGGGTCTTCAAGGCTACCCGGGTGCTATCCTGGATTGTCTTGGGTGTCTTTGTGGGCTTGCGTTTGGGCCGTTATGGAGCGTTCGTGGGCCATCTCGGGCGCGTCTTGGACCGTCTTGGGGCGCTCTCACCGCGCTCTGGGAGCCTCTTGGGCCGTCTTGGAGGGGTTTGGGGAGCTTCTTGGGCGGTCCGTGAGCGTCGGAAATTTGAAAAAGCGAGGACGCTAAAAACATTGAACAACCAATGGAAATTCAATGATTTTGTTCTCTCGGGCCCCCTTTGAGAACGGTCTTGGGGCTCTCGCGGAGGGTCTTCAAGGCTACCCGGGTGCTATCCTGGACTGTCTTGGGTGTCTTTGTGGGCTTGCGCCGACCGATTTGGCACTGCCGCCCGCCTGCGTGCACGCCTTGGAAAGGATTTTCGGCCGCCCCGTGGCACGGATCCAGGGGGTCCCGTTTCGGGGGGGGGGAGTCCGCACCCCCCGAATTATACAAGCATAGAAAAGGAGATGGGCGTCGCCCTCTGCCACCGCCCCCCTATTACTAGTGCGTGCGGCTGCGTGGATATCGTCGTGGGTGCTTCTCGTGGCAGGCTTCTCGGCAGCGTCTGCGGGTCATTATTGGAGCTTCTTGGAAGTTGCTTTGGAACCTCTTGGGGCATATTTTGGGTCTCTTGGGGGTCTCCTTGGGGCCTCTTGGGGGCCTCCTGGGGGCCTCTTGGGGCCTCTTTGGGTTGGGGCCTCTTGGGGACCTCTTGAGGCTTTCTCGGGGGCGGAAAAGTGGAGTTTTCGGTTCGTGAATTCCCTCTTGGGCCTTTCTTGGGACCGTCTTAGAGCCCTTTTGGGCCGTCTGGGGCACTTCTTGCACGCTGTCGCGTGGGACTTTTTCACAATGTATGCACATGCCGCGCTTTCGAAACTCAGGAGTCTCGCCGCGCCCTCGACACTTAGGAATCACGCTGTCGCTTTGGCCTCTCTCACGATTTATTTGGCAATCGCGCTGTCGTTCGAGATTTCCTCGCGACCCATGCAAGACGCAAGCTTCAGCGACCCGCCTGCTCGACCTAGCCGCCTGGGCTCGCCTCTCCGACCAGCCCGTTAGTGTCTACCCGCCCGATGTGCCTGCCAGCTTCTGCCACGTGCGTTCTGTTCCAAGCCCCCCTACCTGCCACTCTCTCTAGCTCGTGTTCCCTCCTCCTTCCCCCTTGTCTATGTATTCCATCAGTCCCCTTCCCATGCCGTCGGGGTTGCATGCAACACACGTTGCCGGTTTGAAAAATATGTACCCCCAGCGGGGTGCGATCGAAGACGGAAAGGGCGGGTATCGAGGGTTGGGGATATACTTGTTGAGTGGCACGCGAACAGATAAGAGCGAACAGTCTTAAAGTGATAAGTGTTGCTGTTGTTGCTGTTGGTGGTGGTGTTGTTGTGGAGTTCCCACGATTGAAAAATAACTATTGTTGATCCCGCCCCTCGGGGCCACTTCCCCCCGGGCCCCCGAGTTACGATAACAACGGCTCCCGCCGAGCATTTCCTCACAATTCATTCCCAAATCGCGCTCTCGCGTTCCTCACAATTTTATCAGAAATCGAACTCTCGCGTGAGACCTCCTCGCAATTTATTTATACGCCGCGCCCTCGACACTCAATAATCACTCTCTCTTTGTGGATTTCCTTGCGAGTTATTTGGGAATCGCGCTGTCGCTCGAGATTTCCTCGCGACCCATGCAGGACGCACGCTTCAGCAACCCGCCTGCTCGACCTAGAGGCTGGGCCCGCCTTCCCGCCGCGCCCGTTAGGGTCTACGCACCCGATATGCCCGTCTGGTTCTGCCACGTGTTTTCTGTTCTTAGCCCCCCTACTGTTAGTCTCTCTCTCGCTCGTGCTCCATCGTCCTCCCTCCCCCACGTCTCTTCCTTCCATCCGTCCTCTCTTTCTCTGCCTTAGCAGATGCACGAAATACACGTTGCAGGTCAGGAAGATATACCCCCAAGGGTGCAGGATCGAAGACGAAGAGAGTGGGTTTCGCGGGTTTGGGAGATACGTATTGACTGGCACGCGAGCCGATAAGAGCGAGGCGTCTTAAAGTGAGTGGTGTTGTTGGTGTTGTTGTTGTTGTTATTGTTGTGCGTGGTGTTGGTGTTGGTGTTGGTATTCATGGTGTTGTTATTGCTGCTGCTGTTGTTGTTGCTGCTGTTGTTGTTGCTGCTGGTTGCAGCGCAACCCCGAAACGCATGACTGCGAACCTAGTTGTCGCAGCAAGCGCAGCTGGAGCCGAGGCGAGAGCGGCAGTGCGGATGTAGGGTGCCCCGCAATAGTATCAATTCTCGAATAGTTAAGGTTCAACGTGGACTAGGAAAGCTCCAGGGCCTCGGGGAGCCTTGAGGACAAGCGGAGGAAGTATCGAAGGGGAGCGTCGTTGTTTGCCGGGGGGGGCCGCTTGCGGCGCCGGAGTGGGAGCGCCGTCCTGCGTAAAAGACCATGCAGTTTCGAGCGGGAGCGCCGGTGTTGTGGGAAAGCCGGCTTTCGGCGGCGAGCACGACTCACTGTCCCGAGCAGAGGAGGAAGAAGCATCGAGCGGGAGCTCTGCTGATGTTGTTTGGGGGCCGGTTTCGGCGCACCCCCGAAACGCCGGACCGCGAGCCTGATTTACCAAGGAGATGCAGCCCGCGCCGAGGCGAGAGCGCCGGGGCGCCTGTAGGGGATCCAATGATACTACAGTTTAGCAATGAACACTCAACAAGAGCAACAACAACAACAACAACAACAACAACAACAACAACAGCAACAACAACAACAACAACAACAACAGCACCAACAGCAGCAACAACAACAACAATCCGCACCGCAGAACCTCACTTCAGCCACACCCCAGGAACAGGGAATGACCGCTCGGCCCACTCACTCCGGTTTTAACCGCCCTGAGCATGCACAGGGGTACACACGGAAGGTTGGCTTAGCTTTGGTCCAAAGTGTGAGTGGAACGTTGGCCCCGGTCTATCAGGCGAGTGCGTTTTTGAATCAGCCTTGTATCTAAGCGGTGGTCCAGTTTCCCCCTCCACTACGGCATCTCCTCCGTTCTTGGTTGCTCCCTATTCTCTTGTGGAGTGGAGTCCTCGTTTTTTCTCCGCTGCGCCACGCTCCCGCCTCCTCCTTCCTTCCCCCTCCCTTCAATTCGTGCCGCTGCTGCCGGCGGTGGTGCTGAAGCCACTGCCAGCCGCTGATGTAGCTGCGGCTGATGTCCCAGACATCCAGTGTTTTGAAACATCGGAGCGGCACGTTTTGCTACATGTTCGGCTTCGGAGTGGCAGTTTCGGGCCCCAGGAGTGTGAAAAAACGATTCTGGATGAAAAACCTGCCCCGGAGAAGTGGTCGAGAGGGCCCACCTCTCGAAAACATCGAGGCACCGGATGTCTAGGGTTGTCGTTGGTGTGCCACCAGTCGTTGCAGCTGCTGCTGCCTGCTCGCTATCTGCTTGCTGCCTGCTTGCTCCCGCTGACGTTGTTGTTCGTGCTACTGGCACCGCACCCACTTGCGAATCGGGGGGCATGTCGTTCTCATGTTTCTTGGTATTAGGAGCTCAAATCACGAGCCCTGTGGGCTGTGCGCATGGCGTCGGCGCGCTCATCTCGACACACATCTCGCCCGCCTCGTGCCCCAAAGGGGGCCCCGACTACGGCCCTAGTGTGCGCGCCAGCATGGCGTCGGCGCGCCCATCTCGGCACACCCTTTGCACAGCCGCCCTGCGCCACAGACACGTTCAACTGTAGAGGGTCGGGTCCTTCGATTGGCTAGTTGTTCTTCCAGTGTGGAGGTTCTCGATGGCTTGGGAGCCTCTGGACCGGGTGCCTTGCAGCTGGTATGCTTCTAGTGCCGCCCTGGATCCTGACCCCCGCGGACGTTCCTGGAGATCCCTGGAGTTTTGGAGCGTGTTTTTTTTATCGCTTGGGGCATAATGGGCATTGTAGCCCTTGGACCCCCCCGTATAACATAACGCCCCTCCCCCCCAGTGCGCTCCGGGCATTGCCGCCGTGCGCACGGTGGGGGGGAGGCGTTACATTATACCCCCCCCTCCCCCCCCCCCCTATAATGCCCATTATCGCCGAAAACAAAGAAACGCGCTCCTGGAGCTCTGCACGCCGCGGGAAATCCAACAGGACCATAGACGCCCCCAAAACGTAGATGCGCTGCTGGCGATGTGCTGCGGTGCTGCTTTGGGGGGGCCGCTGCCTCGGCCCACAGGCGGCACCGCGCTGCACAGTGCAGCACATCGGCCTGCACCCCTCTCGATTGGGGGGTTGCGCTTGCCGCATCTCTTTCACGAGGTGCGGCGGATCGCCGGACGGCCGGCCAGTGCGCATCACGAGCCAGGGGCAAAAAAAAGAGCTTGGGGGGTTGCGGACCTGTTCCGCGATCTCTTTTTGTTGCCCCTGGCTCGCGCTGCGCACGGCCTGCGCGCGAGCTTCAGGGCCAACGCCGAAACAGGGGGATGTGTGCGGGGGGGGACATCGATGCGGTCGGGGTTGGCTTTAGCACGTGAAAAGCCAGCCCTGCCAAACCACAGGGTGCCCTTGTGTCCTGTGTGTTGGCGGCCCCTCGCCCGCCCGCGCCCTGTCTCCCCAATTAGGGCTACCCGCGTCCCGTTTAGCTCTTGACCGAAGGGGCCCGCTCCCGACCCGCAGACCAACAAGTGTTGGCGGCCCCTGCCTTCTGCGCTCTCGTCGCAGCGTGTGGCCCTCGGACGGGCCCCGTGCTCTCTCGCGTTCCCTCCCCAGCCAAGCCCCCAGACGGCACGCGGGGGCCGACCGTGCGCTCTCGGATATCCGCGAGGGCCGAGGCCACGGCTGGGCATGAGGAGGAGGAGGAGGAGGAGGAGGAGGAGGAGGAGGAGGAGGAGGAGGAGGAGGAGGAGGAGGAGGAGCGAGGAGCGAGGAGGCGGAGGAGGAGGAGGAGGAGCGAGGAGGAGGAGGGCGGCAGCCGTCTCGTCCCGAGCGCTCCCGCCCCGAGGCCCGCCACGGGCAGGGGCCCGGCCGCGCCGTCCCGGGCTCGGGGGGCAGCGTCGGGGGAGGGGTTCCGCGGGGGGGCGCACCGAGCCCCCACTCGCCAGTTTTTCAAGTCGGGCCCGTCCCTCTGCAGGAGGAAAATTCAAAAAGTGCCCCCCCCCCCCAAAAAAAAAAGTAAGGGGACGATTTGTTAGAGCATGTTTCAAACTATTTGGGGGGCATCTTTCGACTATCTGTCATTCTCGTCCAAAATCCGCCTGTAGGAGGACACGCCCGACCTAACGCCAGTTCTAGAGAGAGAGAGAGAGAGAACAGTCCACCCCGACACCCGCCAGGACCATGTTTCCTTTTTTTGTCCGGAGCGCCTGTGGCTGCGGACGGCGCGCTCCGACGGCGAACAGTTCTCGTCGCCGCATGTTTGGTTTCATACACTGTTATACAAGATCGCTGTTGTTTTTTTCTTGAACGGCGAGTGAAGTGCACTGATGTGCGCCGAGACGCGATTTGAGCCATGTTCCGGGGCCTCTCGCGCATTCGTTTTTTTATGTCAAAACAAGTTGGGCGTTTATGTCAACACTTCTTGGCCAGCGTTCACGGAACGCCCGATCGTTCAAGTTTGAACGATCCCCGCGGTGTCAGGAACCAACGCCAGGGTCGACACGACGCGAATTTGCCGTACGCATAAACACCCGGAGGCCCGCACGGACTTCTCGGATCGGCGCCGGAGGTTCCTGGAAGCGCCTTTGGCGCCGCCCCTGGCGCGCAACGCGCGCCAGGGGATCCAGGCACCGATCCGAGAAATCCACGCGGGCCTCTCGACGTTTCTGTTCAGTCCATGGCCAGCGGGGGCGTGATAGCCCACCCCGCCGAGAAGCGTGCGGATTCGCTGCGGGGTGGGCCTCTCGCCGCTGCATCGGCGGTGCATCACCGATTCCAGGTCGATGCCCCCCCCCACCTGAGCCGGAGGCGGTCCACCCCCTATCGCTGCCCTCAGGTCGGGCCTGTCTCCGTACAGGCAGATTTTGGACGAAAAAGAAGAAAGAGTCAGAAAGTAACCAAAAAATGCGCAAAATACTCAAAACATCGCCCCCGGATTTTTACTATTAAAAAAAAGTCCTCCTGTAGAGGGACAGGCCCGACTTAAACGCTGCCCCTCGCTGGCCCGCGAGCGCCGCCCCGGCGGGGGGCGCCGAGGTCTCCCTGGCTGCCTGGCTGGGGGGGGGGGGCCCGATGTGCTCCCGGCAGTGCCTGGCAGGAGTGGCGGAGGCGCTGGGGCTGCGCCGGGGCGGCGGGGAGCTCTCCCCGCGGCCCTGCTCCCTCCTCTTCCCCGCGGGCCTCTCCCTCCCTCCTCCCTCCCTCCCTCCTCCCTCCCTCCCTCCTCCCTCCTCCCTCCGCCCTCCTCCCTCCGCCCTCCTCCCTCCTCCTCCTCCTCCGCCTCCTCCTCCCTCCTCCCCTCCCTCCTCCCTCCTCCCTCCGCCCTCCGCCCTCCTCCCTCCTCCCTCCTCCCTCCTCCCTCCTCCTCCCACCTCCGGGCGTGGAGGCTCGTGCCGGAGGATGTCTGGGGCGAGAGGGGGGGGGGTCGACAGAGGAGGGGCTGCGCCGGGGCGGCGGGGAGCTCTCCCGGGCCCCTGCTCTCGTCTCGGCGGCGACGACAGTCGGGGGTGGAAAAGAGGGGGGTGATGACTAGGGGGGGGTGGACATCATGGCGGGGGCCATTGTATTTCCCCAGAGTTTATGGCGTCTCTTCTTAGTTCATTACGTCCCTGGACCCCCGCTGGGCCGCGCACATGCCGCCGGTCATGATTTGCACCCCCCCCTCTCGGACACCCCCCTCTTGGCCGCTCCCGAGATAGGGGCGAGTAGCCCAGGGGCGGGCATTACATGTATTCGCCAGGGAGCCTTTCCGAAGATTTCGATCATCGGCGCACCTGGATGCATGGATTGATCTCCCCTTGGCTATTTATTCGCCCCTGTCGTCGCCTCTGGTCGTCTGAGCCTCCCAGGTAAGGTCCGAGCAGATGGGGTCGGAGGATGGCGCCGCATCGCCGACGTATCGACGATATCCAGCTCGACGTGGAGCCAGAATTTCCCCACGCCGATGGCGCCGATGCATCGCCGATGCATCGACAATGCATTGGCGATGCGGCGCGATCCTCCGACCCCAGCCACTCGGACTCCATCTCGGATTATGTTGGGCCTGTCCCTCTACAGGGTTACAATTCAAGATTTGTTCGAAGATAGTGAGGGGACGACTTGTTTTACCATTTTTGAGCATGTTTCCAATATGTTTGACTAGCTTGAATTTTTTGTCCAGAATCCGCCTGTATAGGGGGACATGCCCGACCGAACTCTAGGAGGCCTCCATCCCGTCGACTACACGGAAGAGTGGCCCCTCGCCAGAGGGGCCGCCCGCCAGGGCGAAGCGACTCCCCCCCCCCGCCCCCCTTCGGACATCGTGGGGGGCAGGGGTAGGGTTCGCATGTGGTCCCCCTGCTCTGCGGCTCCGGAGGAGGACCAGCGTCGTAGCCAGACATCCACGGAAGCGTGACCTTTTGGTTGGAGGGCCCGATCTGTTCGAAAGACGTTCGGGGAGGCTTGTTCTGAGATGGTCGGAAGATGTCCGGGGGACGGGTGGGCGCGAAGCACCCGTGAGGCCGCAGAGCGAGCGCGGAGCCGAAGGCCTCCGGCCTCCTGGGAAGTTCTCCCCCGACCTTCCAGGAGGGCTAAAGAATAACACGCGACTTAAAAACCTATCCCAGAGCTATCCTATGTCTTGGTTTCAGGCTGTTTCGTTTCGTTTGTTCAGTTTTTAGGTCTCCCGTGCTGAAGAATAGCTCTCTGGAAGGTCAGGGCCTGGCCACCGGGGAGCTCCTCAGAAGGCCGCAGGCCTTCTGGCCACCGGGGAGCTCCTCAGAAGGCCGGAGGCCTTCTGCTGAGCGCAAAGCGAACGTGAAGCCGCAAAGCGAACGTGAAACCGCAAAGCGAACGTGAAGCCCGAAAGCGAGCGTGAAGCCGCAGGCCTCTGGCCTCCTGGGAAGCTCTCCCTGGCCAGCGGGGAGCTCCCCAGCAGGCCGGAGGCCTTCTGCGGAGCGCCCTCTGCAGGGAAGGCCCGCCCCCCTCGGCCTCCCCCCCCGGGGGCGAGCCGCGGGCTCTCGCCGCGGGCCTCCGACGACGTGGCGTGTCCAGCGCCGCAGGCGGCCTCTCCGCCCCTCCTCCCTCCCCTCCCTCCTCCTCCTCCTCCCTCCTCACACCCTCCCTCCCTCCCTCCTCCCTCCTCCCTCCTCACTCCATCCCTCTCTCCCTCCCTCCCTCCTCCTCCTCCTCCTCCTCCCTCCTCCCCTCCTCCTCCCTCCTCCCTCCTCCCCCTCCCTCCCTCCCTCCCTCCTCCCTCCTCCCTCCTCCCTCCTCCCTCCTCCCTCCTCTCGGTGTCGGTCTCCGGGGCCCGCTGTGGGGCCCCCCACGGCCATCAAGCACAGGCCCGGGACGCGAAACGCTGCACCCAGGCAGGGGGGGCCGGGCCCTCGGGATCCGCGGGCCTGGAGGCTCGTGTCGGAGGATGTCTGGGGCGAGGGGGGGGGTCGACAGAGGAGGATGTGAAGGCTCGTGTCGGTGGATGTCGACAAAGGAGGGGGTCGACAAAGGAGGGGGTCGACAAAGGAGGGGGTCGACAAAGGAGGGGCGAGAGGGGAAGGGTCGGCAAAGGAGGGGGTGCGAGGACTGCTGCGTGCAGCTGGTTTCGGGCCCGCCGCCCAGGATCAGGCCTCGATGCATGGCCGACCCCAGCGCCTGGAGGCACCGCAAAGAGCAGATGGCATGCGCCGATGCGCTAACTCGCCTCTATGCTACCCCCCCCTTTCGTCTGACGCGGCTTTCCCTCTGACTCTCTCTCTCTCTCTCTCTCTTTCTCTCTCTCTCTCTCTCTTTCTCTCTCTCTCGCTCTCTCTCTCTCTCTCTCTCTCTTCATCTCTCTCGTTTTGTTCCTCCAGATCCTGCTCCGTTTTCGTGTTCCTGGGGCCCTCCTGGGAGAGTGATGTACGTCGAGATATCTGGAGTGTGGACTTGCGGATAACCCCTGGTCGCAGGCCCACCCATGAAAGTGGGGCTTGGTTAAGCACTGCCCAAGAGGCGCACCAGGACGCGACCCAAAAGGCTCGAAGAGGGCTCCACATGAGAGACAGACGAAGTGGGGTCGATTGTGCGGACATTCGCGCGTAGGCTTCCCGCGTGAGGTCGCGCGTCAGCGCACTCGTTTTCAAATAGAGCGTGCCACGCTGGCGGCCCGCGCAAGCCGCGGCGTAAGGCCGCTGCGAGGAGGGCATTGGATAATGAACCATTGGATGAAGAGCCCAGGGTCTGGAAGACAGTGAACTCAGGCTTGGCCATGGACCTCTCCGCCGCCCTCATCAGAGAAGGAGCCCTCCGGGGTCTGAAGATTCCGGGGCACATCCCTTGATCAACGCCCACACCGTCGTATGCCCTCTCGCGTAAGACCCTCTTCTTTTTGCCGCTCGAGAGGGCCCAGACATGGCCCCGAAAGGGCTGCTTGATGGGTGGCCGGAGGCGGCCACCGCACCGCGTCTGCGCGTTATCAGGAGGGGAAGAAACACACAGACACAAGTAATCGTCGACTTCCCAGAAAATATGGGAAAATATGGGAAGTGGTGGGGAAGACAAAGACCCAGAAAATATGAGAAAATATAGGGAATCTTTTTATTTGTGTGTATTTATTTGTGTGTCCCAGGGCCCCTTCACGTTAGTTTGCGCGCGTGCCACTTCCCAGACATGTTCGCGCCATGCCAAACATCGAGTCGGAAGTTTGTTGGCCCTCTTCGGCCTCGGGGGGCCCTCGTCGGGCACCAGGGCCGTCAAACAGCGGCTCGAGCTGAAGCGCGGGCCCTTGCGCATTGGGCGAGATTTCCGGAGACCCCGCCTTGAAAAGATCAGGGCATCGCGTGTCTGGGTTCCTCGCGCAGCTGACAAATGTGGACTTCCCTTAGCCGAACGGTTCAACCCAACCCTCCAGCCGCCTCTCGGCCATGGCATCGGCTTGTGTGGCCCCCGCCTTTGCCTCGCAGGGCCAGGCAAGGTGAGGCGGTCTCCAAGACGGCCACCAAGACGGCACGTGATGGTCTAAGACGGCCGACAACAGGCCTCCAAGAGGCCTCCAGACATCATCAAGATGGCCCCGAGAAGTCAAACGGACTCAAGCCAGAAGGTGGTTCAGCGAATCTAGCCTTATCGTCTTCAGGCCTCCGATAAGCTCGCCGGGCTGCCACATGGCCCTAATATAGCCCAAGAGATGCCCTGAATGGCCCAGGAAGAGTCAAGACGGGCACGGAGGCCCACATGAGGGCCCCCACAGCGCCCAAAGATTGCCCCAAGAGGGCCCCAGGCGAGCTACCAATCGCGAAAAGGCCAACCAGACCACCTGTACCTGACGTCACGCTGGTCGCAAGACGGCCCCATGAGGGCCCCTCAGACTCCACGAAGCCTCAAGATAATTAATGTTCAAAAGCTGCTTTAAAGATGGTGACCCCCCCCTCCCCCAGATCCCGACTGCCATTGAATTCGCCGCCGAATAATTAATTATAATCGCTTCGCTCATTCCGCCGGCCCTGGAGCGCTCTTGAGGGCCTCTTGGGGACCTCTTGGGAGTCTCTTGGGGCTCCTTGGCGGCGTCTTGGGGGCGACCAGGGCCTCTCGGGGGGCTTTTGGGGGCCTCTTGGGGCGGGAGGGGGGGTAGTCGATTGCGGCTCCCCCCTCGGAGGCCACGATCCTCGTGAGGGGTGTCGAAAAATGGCCCGCCCCTGGAGTGCTCTGGGGGCTTCTCCCGGGGTCCCCGGGGTACTTTTCGTTCGGGGGCCCCCAGGGGCCGCTCCGCGCGCGCGAACTAGAAATATCATTAACCAGTTACCGGAGATCTTAGCACGCCTCTGGCCCGTGTGGCCGGCGACTTTGTTTCAACTGTCCCCCCTGTGACATATTCCACGGAGACCAGTTCGATTTCGACTCCCATCTTCTCGTCAAAATTGAAATGAGAACTGTGGGGCAAACGGGAGATCACGGAACGCGCGAGCCCCACTCTGTCGTCGCCATCCTCCTTGTTGCCCCCTTGTCTTCATTATCCTCCCTCCCCTCTCCCCCCTCCTGTTCCTGCTCCTGCTTCTGTCTGCCCCCTCCGAGTGATGCCCACAAGCAGCTCGCCTCCGCTCAGGGCCACCAGGCGTCTTGTCCAGCAGCGCTATAGAAATCGCTTAACCACGACGCCTGGGGACAAGCCTGCGTTCTCGAACGCCTCATCCTCCCCCTCCTCCCTTTTCTTCCCTTCCCTCCTGCTCGCCGTTGCTGTCGCAGTCGCCGCCCTCCTCCCCGTCCTCCCTCTGCCTCCTCTCCTCGCCGCCCTCTGCTCCGTCCCGCTCGCGCGTCTCTTCCTTCTCCTCCTCCTCCTCCTCCCCCTCCTCCTCCCCCTCCTCCTCCTCCTCCTCCTCCTCCTCCTCCTCCTCCTCCTCCTCCTCCTTCTCCCCCTCCTCCTCCGCCGCTCGAGGAGCCGGCGCCGTCGGGCCGCGCCGTGGAGGCGCGGGCGGTTGCGGGGGCAGCCGGGGGCGACGCGGGCGGCGCGGGCGCAGAGGCAGCGCAGGGTTCACAAGAGGATTCACAGAGGATTCACAAGAGGGTCACAAGAGGGGGGAGGGGGGAGGGGAGGGGGGAGGGGGGGAAGGGTGAGAGAATTCACAAGAGGGTCAACATTGCAGTTGATTTCAGCCGCGCGCAGAGGGGGGGGTGGGGGGGGGGCTTCTTAGAAGCACCCCTGCTTCGTAGAAGGCGCAGGCCTCATCTATAGATGTGAGGCCAGCGCTTTCGAAGAAGCAGCCTCCTTCTGAAAAGCCCTCCCCCCTCTCCCCACCCCCGCTTGTGCGCGCCGCCAACAAGTGCTCTCGCTCGTCGTCGTCGTCGTCGTCGTCGTCGTCGTCGTCGTCGTCGTCGTCGTCGTCGTCGTCGTGGTCGGTCCCCTATCCGTCCCTCTTGGGGCCGGGTTGCCGCCGATCAGCGCTGCCGCTGGCCAGGCCGACGGTCCGCGGCCGCCCCGCCGCTTGCCGGGGCTGACGTTGCAGCTTACTGCTTCCAGCACTACCGGGAAGCTGGATCCGAATCAGAAAAGACCCATGGCGCCCGACCCCCCGATCAGCCGAGCAGGTGTGTGACAGAAAGAAGGGGTGACCGAAGACGTGCCCGAAAGTGTGGCCGAAAATGCAGTGCGACCAGAAGTGTGGCCGAAATTGCCAATCGCTGGGGGTTCGATTGGGAATCTCGGTCACACTCCGGCGCGCTCGGGTGAAAATTTCGGCGCCGATTTCGGTCACGTTCGGGCAGATTGTTGGGCAGAGCTTCGGCCACTGCACCCCCCCGGCGGAGGCGAGGCTGCGCGAGAGAGCGGCATCAACACATAAGCTGTCGGAGCTCCGCGCGGACTTCTGGGGTCGACGTCGGGGGCCCCCTCTGGCGGTGCCTCTGGCGCCGCCCCTCGGGGATCCAGCGCCGACCCGCCATTTTTGTTCCTCACCACTTTCGGGGGAGCGTAAGACCCGGGTTTGCCGGGACTCGGGTTCGCCATCGTTTTTTGACGACCGCGCCTCGGATTCTGACGAGGAGGAGTTCCGTGGGATGTCTGCAGCGGGAGGCCTCGTCAAAATGCAGGCTCGGCCTCGTCATTTTTTTGACGACCTCGTCGGGGATTTCCGAGTCCCCTGTACCCAGGTCTTACGTCCCCCTGACACTTCGAGCAGCAACTTCGGGCGAGTCTGCGCTGACAGCTCGAGCCGGATGCGCGGTCGGCCGCCCTTGGGCACCTCGCGGCCCCCGAGTGGGCGGCAACGGGGCGGCCACGCGCGGCGAACCTCCCAGCCTGGAGGTTGGAAAGGGGTACAGTCGGGTCCCTGAAGAGGGAACCCTTTTCGTTGGGGAGGGGCTCCGTGTTCCTGAATTGTTTCGCAGCTTGCCTCAGGTGTTCCTCAGGTTTTCGATGGGAAGTCGAAGTTCAACTTATGGTAAAAAGGGGCCTCGTTCCTTATGTAGGGTTCCTTAGGTCAACGCCCCGACTGTATGGTATGAAGGGGCGTGGTGCAAATGTCATGTAGAGGGGAATCTTGCGATGTTATCCATCGCAGATAGCACCGCCATTTCCACCATTGGCACCATACCCCTTTGAGCCACACCCCTCTCCGACCTCCAGATCCAGGACCCCCCAACGGTGGGCGGCCGCACTCCGCTTCCAGCGCCCCCGGCCACCGCGCGGGCCTTGTGACGGGGGCCCTCCCCCCAGGCATCTGGCGCGCGGGCCTTCGCCAGCTCTTGCGCGCGAAGGGCCCCGTGGGGTGCCCAGATCACCGACGACATGGTTCCTTGTTCCCCCGCCATCCTGTGGTCTTGGGGCCTCGTCTTGGAGAGGCAGCGTCCCGCGTCCTCTCTTGTCCTCCTCCCTCCGCCCTCCTCGTCCCAGACCTGCCCCCTGCCATGCGCATGTCCATGTCGGCGTACCCCTCGCACGCGTCGTGGCCCAGAAGCGAGCTCCACCGAAGGCCCAAAAATCAGGGTCGGCATGCCTGGTCCACGCCATCTCGGAGCACCTCTCGCACGTCTCGCGGCCCCATAGAGAGCTCCACCTGAGGCCCAAAAATCAGGGTCCGCCTGCCTGGTCCACGCCATTCTGGCGCACCTCTCACACGCTCCGTGGCGCCATAGGGAGTTCCACCTGAGGCCCAAAACTATGCGTCCGCATGCCTGGTCCACGCCATTCCGGCGCACCCCTCGTGGCTGCGTCCGGATGTCTTGTCCGCGCCAGTACGGCGCATCCCTCATACGTTTCATGACACCATAGGGAGCTCCACCTAAGGCCCAAGTGGTTGCGCCCGCCTGCCTTCTCCACACAGTTTCGTTTCGGAGCGCTCCTCACACGTGTCGTGGCCCCTTAAGGGAGCTCCACCTAAGGCCCCTGCGTTCGCATTCTCCACGCCATGTCGGCGCACCCCTCACACGTTTCGCAGCCCCAAAGGGAGCCCGCCCATGTCGCCACACTCCTCACACATTTCGTTGCCCCATAGGGAGCTCCACAGAAGGCCCCAGTGGCAGGGCTCGCATTCTTGACCGCGCCTGTTTCGGCACACTCCTCACACGATTCGTGGCCCCATAGGGGGCTCCACCAAAGGCCCAAGTGGCAGGACTTGCATACGTGACCGCGCCCATTTCGGCACACCCCTCACACGTTTCGCGGCCCCACAGGGAGCTCCACCGAAGGCCCGCGCCGCATGCTGCTCCCCGTGGCCGCGCCGACAGACGCGCAGATCAGCTGTAATGAGCTACATCCAGATGTCACCCGTTACAGCCGACCTTTGCGACCCCAGTAGCAACGTCGATCCGTCCTTTCCACGCACGCCTTAGTCCTTTTGCTAGCCCCGTCCCTTAGTTTCCACCCGTCTTGCGATACTCGCAGCTGCGTGCGTTTGAGTCCTCCGCCGGGCGAATTGTCTGGCGTAGTTCCTCTAATGTTTCTGGCGCCTTTCATTCGCACTTGATTACTCGCCGCATCTGTTCAAATGCGATCCCTCATCCCAGTCCGGCGTTTCTCCACGACGTCGGTCTCCTGGGGCCCGTTATCGGGCCCCTGGGCCACCGAGAAGCGGATCTGGGGCGGAGAGCGAAGCCTCGGGGAGCGGGGTGGACAGTTCTGGGGACGCGGCATCGCCGCATCACTGTCAGATCCGAGGCCCGAAAACCATCACTTCACGAATTTTGCGCCCCAGGGCCCGCTGAGGCCCCAGAGGCCCCAGATTAGTGAAGTGATGTTTTTTTCTCACGTGAGGACCCCGCAATTCATCACTTCACTAAACCGAGCCCAGGACGAAAGTCAGGGGCCGAATTGCTGCTGTGATGCCACATCGGCCTCGTATCAGAGAGTTGGTGCGTGTGCTCCCAGCG